CCACATCAGCCCCAGAATGGCCAATGGTCACAAACTATGGGACTTGCAGTCCAAAACATTTGGAAAACATCTGGTTTGCACCCAAGAATGTGACTAGATTCAAAAGATCTCACTTTTATCTAAAAATCATTCACACTGTGTAGCTGCTTAAAATAAAAATAGAGAACTCAACATTAAATTAAGTTTCCCCTTCCATGAAAATTTAATTAAAAAGATGGGAAGTCAAGTCTAATTCCCCTCCCCCAATACATGCACATGCAATGCCAACTAGATTACACTGGAATACCATTCACTTTATAGTAAATGTGGCATTAGATGCATACTAGATATGCAGTGTAACATGCAATTTGACCTTCAGACTCTGAGCAAGATAGGAAGTAGGAAGTGATGTCCCCAACATGTACTAAGACAACTACACACTCAAAGTAGAGGAAGAAAACTCACTTGGATCTTTCTTGCTTCTAAAAAATGAAAAACATGGGGTTGCCACATCATACCTTTTAAAATCTATCTATCTATCTACTGATCTATCTATCTGTCTGTCTGTCTGCCTGCCTATATGTTTCTAAAGAATAAATCTGTCTATCTGTCCAAATAGCCAAGCTCTTCCAAACTGGAAATACTAAGAAACAAATACAGAGATGCCTGCATGGAGAATTTGTGCCATGGTGCCACTAAACACATTTCTCTCTTCTAACTTTTATTTATAGATATAAGTCATTTAAGTAGGACAATGTTTTTGCAGAAATGTTTTGCACTCGATAGAACATCCACACCCTTTAGCACAGCCCAATGACTACACTGGTGCAGAAATGACAGGTGGCCTCATATTATTTAGGGCGTGAATTGTGCAGCAGGAGGGAAAGGGACACAGAGGAATGGTTGGTAAGAACGGTGGCATCCACAAAGAGAAACAACCCCTCTTTGATTGCTGTGAGCAGAATCAGGGCAAACAAGTGCAGATCATCTTGCTTCTGCTTGAATGCAAACTTCTAGTACCAACCAAAGGAGAGAAATCTTATTTGACTTTGAGACAACAAGACATGGCATCTTGCTGAGCAGGGGAGTCCCACCGGAGACTCTCCACTTTATCCCTTGATTCTTTAAAAGTTCAAGAAGATGCTTGCTGTATGTCTGGACCTTGAAATAGTGCCTTCCACTGGGGACCAAGGATGTTGCATTACAACCAGTTTGACCTCTCATGCCTTAGTTTAGGAAAACAGCCAAATGGCTGTTTATAGGCTTTGGAATGGTCCAGTTGTGGGTTAGAATGAACTCTTCTTTGCTCCTCTTGCATCTGAAGGCAAAAACTGGTTTTATTTCAACTGTTTTTTGTTTTTAAAGTAAGGTTTTATAAGAGACTGTTGTACTCTTTTACATTGCACTAAAACCCATCATTTGAATGATTTTAATTGTGTATTTAAAATTGTATTTAGTGTTGCCAATAGTTTTAGTTCTATTTAATGTGTATGCCTGAACTTTATTGTATTTGTTCTCATTTGGAAGTTTACCTGAGTTCTGATTGAGGGAGAAAGGCAGGGTATAAATCAAGAGAGAGGGAGAAAAAAGAGAAGGTGATGGTGAAAAAGGAAGAGGAAGAAGATATGAAGGGGGAAAGGACATGCCAACTGATCTTGACTGTGCAAGAGAGGGGTCAAGTCTCCTTAAGAGGGACAAATTAACACATTCATTTCAATAGTTTTCAGTGTTTGAAAATGTCACTCAAAAGTGCCAGATTCATTTTCATGTGATAAGCTTGTAATGAATCTGCCAGAAAATGCACATTACAGATATAAAAACCCTCATAGTGACCACTATGAACATAAGATAGCCATACTGATTGTTCTGTCGCGTGCTGGGCCTGTAAAGAATTGTCTTTAGAACAGGACGTGCAACCTTTGCCCAGCAGGAAGCCAGGGGGCCCAAGGAGAAGTTCTCAGAGGGTTTTTACCACAAATAGTCTTCAGATGGCTTGTGAAGTACAACAAAGTATTTTATTAATGAACAATCAAACAGAAACTTCTCTTGTCTTCAGTAAAGATAAATGATTCCAGGCTTTTATGCAACTGGTAGCTTCCTAAATTTGCCCACAAAGGACAGGCAACTGTCTTCAATAACTTCTTCTTTACTTTAAAGGAAAGTCCTCTTTTTAACTTCTCCCAGGCTGACTGTAACCTAACCCTTACGGATGTGGGCTCCGCTACCGGGTCGAACTGCTTCTCGAACGCCGGGTGGACCTACAAGTAAAGGCTTAGATGTTCACCAGCTGGAGTTCTTTGGTCTTTAGGGCTGTTTTCCTGGAAGTTCTTAAAGGTTGAAGCTTTTGTACAGGGGAAGCTTACACACATCCTATACATTAGCTTTCCTTGCTGAGACTAACTAAAAATGGCTCCCTTCCCTTCCCAATTGCCCTGAGCAAGGGGTGGAACCAAAACTTAATGATGATGAACAGGTGACTTGCCCTATGACTGCAACCAAAGGAAGCCACCTATCTGCAGAGTCCCTGAAACCTTGGACTGCAAGCAAACATTTAATACAAAGCAAATAAAATTGGAGCTCCTGGTACAGCCGTACCAGAACACTGATTCACACTAAAGACTGACTTAATTCTACAGCTGTTATGGAATTCTCATGGTGTTTGCAGTTCTGGAGGGACTTATTTAATTTTTGCACCTCATAGACTCAGCATGGGGTTTTGCTTAATCAGTCAAAATTCATGAGCAAACCAGATTTTTTTAACCTGAAATTTCGAAAGGGTTGAACCCCTAAACACCACTCCTTGGCTACAGCTCTGCTTCATAGTATCTAGTCATTAATGGCCTCATTTTCAATAAGCAAAAATGTTGAGGATCTCTGGGGTCTAGCATAGAGGAAAACGAGCAGTGAGCAGTTGGGTGCCCACAAAGTTGCGCTGGAGCAGGTGGGGGTCTGTGAAAGGATTGCAGAAGAATAGCTACTCAGCCAAAACAGATAAGCACTACATATCTAGCTACAATGTCAAACGTAGTATGCTGGTCTATTTGCTGAATTTCTTTTTCTGTTCAGTTCTAAAAAAAAAAAAGGTTTCCCAACATATTTTTTCTACTCTAGGTCCATTTGTTTATATCTGTGTGGTGGTGATTATATGCATGAGAATGAGTCATATATAAAAGTTTTTCAGCATGGATAAGCTTTGTAAACATTAGTACCCGCTTGTGTCTAAAAATATAGTGAAGTATTCTCCAGTTGAAAGAATGGAAGCATCGCTGGCTGTGCAAATTTTAACTTAAAAGAAATATTAATCCTAGAAAGTATAATTAGGTTAACAAGGCAGCCGATGTAATTCAACTTGCATTTCACATCTTGCTTTATTGCCTTTGAACACAAAACAATGACACGGTAGCATGACAGAGAAGCACTGCTTTCAAAAATACATTGTAGCCTTTCTTTTATAAAAGCACTGATATTTTATTCTGCATCCAATGAAAGATTCCCTGAATTAGATTAACTACTGACTAAAATAATCTGATCATGGTTGGAACACCGAGGCTTGATGACACACTAAATAAAAATCTCAACCTCAGTTTTAAACAGTACACACAAAACACATCAACCGGTAGAGGATTATGCTTCTTTTGCAAACAAATCCATACTACACAAGCTGATAAACCACACGTAAGTAAACATAAAGTAGAGGTGACATGCACTTCCAACAGGATAAGAATTCATTTTTTTTAATTAAAGGCCTGTTCAAGACCTTCTTTCATTCCTCCTGTTTTCCTATTCCTTTTCTCTTGAATGACATCTACATTAAACTGTAAGCATGATGGTAGGAACTATTAATAAGTAGGGTCTGTTCTACAAGCTTTTTTGTTTACATGACAATGTAAAAATGATTTAAACAAATATATACAGTAGGCCCACATATTATGTGAAAGATTTCTTCCAAGACACTTTGGGTAAAACACTTTAACATATAATCTACTTTTCTTACCTGAAATGTATGTTTTGGGATCCAGCCAAAGAATATCATAAAATCATGCAATGCTTAGAAAAGTGTTCTCTCTAGGCCTCTAGCATGATTCTAGTGGCAGATAGTGATCACAGAATCATGCTGGTGGCTAGGAGAGAACTCATCTCTAGGTATCACTAGGTCTTCCAGAATGATTCTATGGTATTCAAAGCTCTTTCCATATAACTGAATCTGCATTTAATGAGCTAGTATAATAAGTGGGCCTGCTGTATGTAGACTGCTCATCAGATAAAACCTTGTGAATCACATATTGTCTTGTTCAGCCCTAAGACTTTCCAAGTCAATTTATATAAAGGCAATGGTGAGAGAAGAAAAAACAAACAGATATAAAAGCATTTGCACTTTGTAAATGTTAGAACAGATAGTTTCCTAAATTTGACAAATTGTCTAAAGAATTACACAAATCTAGATACAGCAGACTTTGTAATGGCTGGCAGCCATGAGAGTTTGATTTAGAAGATTTCGTGCTCCCACAACTGGATTATTATTCCCATCAACCAGCATTCAGTGGTGATGGAAGTTGAAGTCCAAAAACATCAGAGGGTCACATATTCTCCAAATGATGTAGATGGAGGTCATGTTGCGGATCTGCCCCTGTGGCTATCACATCCTTAATACTGAGAAGGAATCCCAAATGAGAATAAGACCTCACACATGGACCTGGCTCTTCAGATATAAGTGCTCTATATGTGTTGTTGGAACATCACCAAGCACAAAAATAATGTACAAAGTGTGTATGCCAGAACTGTTGAAAGTTGATAGATATGGCTCATAGGAAATAACATGCATATGCACTGTAGGAAGTAACATGTTAACATAATTGAGGTCAGGAAACTTGATCCATGAAGAAGATGTAATAGCCAACAACAAGACCATTTCACAAGGCTTTTCAATGTAAAATGCTGAACATTGCCAAAGATTAGCAGCTCTGAACAAATGACAGACCTTATAAACCAAAATGGTTTAGAAAAAGGGAGTGTAAGCTCACCACTTCTTCATGCCTGCATTTTCTTACATTGATTCCATTAATCTGTTAAAAGAAAAATAACAATAAAATGTTGAGACTATTAAATGTTGGGCTCAACAAAACAACAGGAATAAAATCTGATACAAGAAAATAGTTTTGCCTACCTGCAGAATTGCATCTCCTATGAACAGCAAGCCCGAGAGTTCCGCTGAGAGAATAAAAAGAAAGAAGATGGAAAACATGTTTTGCAATTTAACCTTTTCTATATTTTCCCCCTGACAGCATCTATTTAGCAAGAGATGCATGAAACAATGAGAAAGAGTAAGCAAGTTTCCCTACATTTATATTTCCTTGAAATGTTAAAAAGTCTATTGTGTAACTTTATTTCTGCTATTTTTTTTAAAAAAAAACCCAACAAACTTCCAAGTTATACACTAAAGAATAATAGCTTGACTGCAGAAACAGGCACTAACCAACCACAGACTCATTTAATCAATGTAAGTAAGTCAGCATGTAAAAATATACATCCTTTTGGTTCAGTGACACTTTTTGAGTTCAGACTAACTACTGGACTAAGGCCATAATGCTTAACCTTAAGCCTGTAAAAGGTTTTTAAAGGACGGCCCGAAGACATACCTATTATTATTATTATTATTATTATTATTATTATTATTATTTGAAACGCCACAAGATTAGTCCCCAGCAAACAAGATCACTAGGCTGGCTGTTGTATTGGATCACATGTTGAACACCCTCCAAGTGCCTAGACTGTGTGATGTATCAACCAATAATGCGTGCAGATTCGAGTAGGGTGGCCTTTTGCAGCTGACAGATGGTAATTTTGCCAGTGCCGATTGTATTTAAGTGCAGGCCAAGGTCTTTAGGCATTGCACTCAATCTGCCGATCACCACTGGGACCACCTATACTGACTTGTGCCAGAGTCTTTGCAGTTTGATATCATCACCGTCATCATCATCATCATCATCATCATCATCATCATCATCATCCAGTTTCTGGTCCGTTTTCATCTTTGCTTGCATGTCTTTTTAAAAAAGAAGTTCAAATTCTGATTGATAATCTTGATGATGACCAAACAGTTCTACTCTCATTATATGCATATCCTTCCTTTCATCCTATCCGTCACTTTCCCTCTTTCTCTGTATTTTTTTTCACATTTTTACCTGATGAAGAAACTTGCTTAGATTTTATTTCACTTTTGGTCATTAAAATAGCAACCCTACATTTACATCTACAGTTAATCTCCAGTTTGTTTTTTCACCTCAACTTCAACTTCCTAAGATGATGTATTTTACACATAGCATATCTTGGGTCCTAAATGCT